TTAATTTATAATACCAAGTTCAAGTATGTTTTTCCTTGTTAATTTACAAATTTTAAATCTATTCAAAATCATACAAAATCAAATTCTGTTTGTTTTTTTTATCCCAAAAAGCTCAACGGTACTAATCTCCTCTTACCTTAGAATCAAGACAATGTGACAAAATCGGTAATTGGTCATTGCAATCTGGTCAAATGTATTATTAGAAATGTTTGAAATTAGCATCTGCACTTGTAAATTGTAATCCACCGATTGCTATTCTTTTGAAATCAATTAAGATCAAAATCTATAAGATTTGGAATCAAATTAATTGCTACATGTGTAAATGTAAAACTTTTCAAAAAGTTTGAGCCAGTATTCATCCAAATTCAACCAAAATTTCGAGTTCACTGAAATATTACAACCAACTAATTTAAGAGGAGTTGATCTTTCTCCTGCGTCCCCTTTTTCATTAATTCCCTGAGCACAATCGAGAAGTATGGTGCGAATAAGAGCACAAGAAGTTTATGACTCTTTGCCATATCATGCAGACGAGAAAATTGAATCACGATAACCTTCTAAATGTCAAGCACCTCTATTAAGTAATCTTACAACTGAAAACAACCACAGAACAAAACAACAATAAAAAAAACTGCCCCAAAAAGGAAAAATCAACAATACAAAGCCATCTGAATTGAGATGAATCTTCTACAATCGACATCATCAAGTGACCTTCAACTTTCAATCTCGTAGTTAACAGCTGAAATGTCCAGAGCCTAGCAGTTCCTCCAATCAATTTTGCTATCTACTCAGAGAACCGAAACCTGGCTGTTTCTTAATGCCTCCTCTGCATAATTGCCACACAGTTCAATGATTAGCTTTTACAACAAGTACAATGTGTGAATAAATGAGGACAAAGTATTCGAAACAAGTCTTAAAACCAATTTCCATGAATCTCTCTCTCTCTCTCTCTCAGAGACACACACACACACACACATGTCGGATGTAGATCAAAAGACACATTAATTTCCATTAATGCATGGTAGAATTACCTTCAACTGACTTTTCTACAATTTGTGACAACGTTAAACCTCCTACAATCTAAATGTCGAAGAGCACTAGCTTCACCATATCCACTAATTAGGGGACAAGCTATGGGTATAGTGCTATTGAAACATGACTGGCACAAAGACGTATAGCATCAGCGTACATTTTACATAAAAAAAAAAGAAGCGTGCAAGGGCACTCCTCAACCAATGTCAATAGGCAGCCTGGGAAATTGGCATCCAGGAATATTATTTCATGTTGACAAATCAAGCACCCTGTTAATGTTGAATACAATAGTTCAGCTGAACAAGTTATCTGCCAACAAGATTGTAGATGTTGCAGTGTTAAAGCATAACGCCACTTAGCATGTTGCAATACACATTGAATACATCTAAAAAATTTCTCTACTAGGAAAACAAAAGGAGAAAAATCATTTCATCACATTTGATTTACTGTCAGGAAATCAAAACAATGGCAACTTGTAGTTCTTATTGGTTTCAGTTAAAATGAAGATATATTCTGAGGCAAAACAGCTCTATAATGACGTAAGGTATATAGGAACTCACTCTCGAGAGCAACTCACCTTTTGCTTCTTGAATTTTCTCTCACTACTGTTGCCATTGCCAATAACTGCTGATTGCTCAGGTCCATTATCCTCTAAAGGCAGAGTCTTTATCTCATCATAGAAGCTCTCTGTCAGATCAAGCAACCTAGCAAAAAAGGAGAAATCAAATCAGACAAGTAGTAAATGGATGTCGGTTTATTCATATCCATATCCATATCCATTGAATTTTTCTACTGAACTTACCCATTCCTTGGTTTCTTCAGACGCCTCATTTTCTGCTTCTCAGCTTTTGTAAGAGGAGCACGTATAAAGAGCTCTTCTTCTTGCTGTGCACGTTGTTCCATCTTTTCCATGTACTTAGTTACTTCTGCACTTTCAGTTCCAATATCTTCTCTAACCTTCATTTTCAGATTGGTCTAAAACTTAGTACACCAAACAAAATTTTTTAAAGAAATAGAAACCAAAAACCGCATCCTTTAACTTACCTCTTCAGGTTTTCCCTCCAGGTCATTCATCAATTCTCTCACATAAGCACTCCGTCTAGCCTGACGTAAAGTTTCTTTCTCTTTTCTCATGGCATTTCTCTCCTGTCGAGACATTTTATCTTCGTCCATAGTAGCAGGCACAAGTTTTGGCGGGCGGTATACTCCATCCTTCTGCAATTTTAGACGAACTTTAGAAAGGGGAACTCACAAATATATTCACATTTTGATACATCACAAGTCCCATGAAAGTAAATCTCACTTGATGCCACAACTTTTACAAGTTTCCAAACAGGGAAATTCTCCATTAGTTTTTTTCCTTTTCAAGAAAATAAGGTACTTTTCTCAATATTTAAAAAGTAATATTGTTTTCCTCTTAATTAAACATTTAAATATCATTAACACACCTCCAGAGTTGCATCTGTTTTGCTAATAAGCATATCCGGATTTGGTCGGTACTTTAACCATTTCTCTTCTTCTTTAGCTGTTTCAGTCTCCTCCACAGTAATATCTCGATTCTCCACTACATTTCTGGGGGTCACTCCAGCAAGCTTCCCTATCTGATACTGAAGTTTTTTATCAATTGGGTGAACCTGTAGAAACCAGAACATGAACAGAAAACTAAGTCAAACATAAACCCAAATCAGTATCTACAAAGGCTTCCCACCCTGACCATAACCACACAATCACTTCCCCAGCAATCCAATAAAAATCTCGAAAACAATATGTAGAAAATGAAATTGATATCCCAAAGGAACGTGCAAAATTACCTTCTCCAAAAACAATCTGATCTCCACAAGGCTCCTTACAACAGGATGTCCTTCAATAGATAAACCTTTCGCCTTGCGAAGCAAATAGTACACAAGTGACTGACAATAATTCAGAAGCAGTAAATACTTCGCGTCTAGATAGCTTATTCCATCTGTTGTGGGAAAATTATCTGCTTTCACCTAATATCCAAAACATACATCAATTCAGACCAGCACAAACTAGACCAATAAGAATGAGCCCAGGTCAAAATTTCAACCAACAAGAGCCATAGTCCCAATTTCAGTCCCATTTCAACACCTAAACTTCTGGATATACTACAAACATATGATTTTGGATTTCCTATCACCGTTCAGCTAAGGTAAAAATCTTGAAGACCAAATTATCAATTTGAGCAGCTCTTTCGCATTTAAAAATAAAAATTTAACGAAGCCCTCTCACCTTTGCAGTAAGAGCTTCAATCTTCGCCCTGACTGTATCCAAACCATACATCATCTCTTTCAAGACCGCAACCAGCTGCGGCGCTTCTCTGAACCATCAATTCAGGAAAAATAACAAAAAATGAACAAATTTCTGAACCTGGTCGATTATTACTTTATCTATTATTCATAATAAACTAGAAATCATTGCCAAATTGCTCACTTGCTTATTCTGGCGTTGTTATCCACTGATGCATCTGCCTCCGCCATGCTTTACAATTACTTCTGTGAAAGGAACAATTTTATCAACTTTTGAAGCTTTTGTACTCTTAATTTTGAGTTGGGGCTTTTCCCTTTCCTATGAATTTGAAGGTCTGTAACGACCAACGAACTTTCTCCTTTCTTTCTCCTGTAAAACCTTCTATAAACCCTACAATTCTATTTCTCAATTTTTGTGACCGCCCCTCCATTTTTGTTATATTATGAGATGTGCCCAAAACAGTTACTGTTTATTACGCCTGTGGCCCCGTTGACATTTGGATCCCCTGGGACCACTGGGACGTAGATTTTTAGCTAACAATTTGACAAATCATTTTTTAACACCTCTTTTCGTGGAAAATAAAAATAAAAGATAGAGATCAAGCTGATTGAGTTATGGTCAACCGAAAGGACATACACATAATGACATAAGTACATATTTTCTGACAGGAATGATTATTTTTTGAATTTGTCTTGTATATTTTACTTAATATAAGGGTATTTTTTGTTTTCATAGAAAACTTAAAAGTAAGGGAATGTGATTAATTGGTATTTTTCTATAAGCGAGTTTAATCGATCTTTTATATTTTAAAAAAAGTAAAGCAACTTGTAATAAGATACTTTGAAATGCTTGATAAAGTATTGCGTACAAATGTGATATGTGAAAAGTATTTGAAAATAGTTCGTTCTGAATGAGTAAAACGCTAACAAGAAAATACTTACTTAAATATGAAAATAATTATTTGTGTAATCCTAAATGTTCAAAATCTAACCTAGAGATGATTCGAGGAAAATAACTTTGTAGTATTATTATGTAAAGTATCATATGTATCAAGTTTTAATATATTTGAATTATTTAATTCATTTAAATCAAGAATTATATTTATGAAAAGATGAAAAGATATTAATCCATTTATCAACCAAATCAAATTAACTCATGAAACTTTTCATTTTTTTGGGGAATACGATTTGAAATTTAATTCCTAAATCAGTTCTAAATTGTGTTTATTTCAATATTTCTTGACTCGATATTTATTCTAAATGATGATTTGGGGACTATGCACACTCCATAAGACACAAATACTAATTACAGTAACTAGAAGAGTTAGTAAAAAATTACACGGTTCATTTAGATCGAAAATTAGTCAAAGAAATATTTTATAAAAAAAACACCGTAACACTTTTTTGTTAAAGTGTATATGAGATAAAAAAAAGTGATTATTAAAATTTTATAAGTTATTAAAAAATGTATTTGTAAAATCATCTATTGAAGGGATTTATTGAGCCTTATATACATACAATGGAACAACAAACTTTGAAATAAAATTAAAAAAAAGTTTGAAATAGAAATTTAGGAAAAATACAAAAGCAAAGGGAGAAAAAAAAAAAGCTCAAATCCCAAAAGGAAAGGACAAGTTCGCCACTTAACACCCTACAGTCAAAACAGAGACATGTCATGCACGTCGTCCCAGAAGAAACCCAACACCTTCCGCACCGGATCCAATACCCCTCCACCCTGACCCGCTTCCCTCATCGAGGAGACCCATTTCCGGTCCAGATCCAACCCGACGCTACTTTCTCTCTCTGCTGGTTTCCTTCCATTCTCTCTTTCTCTTTCCCCATTGATTTTTTGATCAATTGAATAGTCGATGCTGAAACAGAGTACACATATCTCGGATCGCACTTCCCACCCCCCAAACACCCATTCTTTCTTCACTTGTTTCTCCTACATTCACTCTCTTTTCTCCATTTCCCTACAATTCTCTCTTCACCTTCACCAATTTATTTATTTTTATTTACTAATTTTGTAGAGTTTTTCCGCTAAGGATTCCGTTTTATTTCTGTTCACATGAAGATATGCGCAGAGGAGATTATGACTACTGTTTGAGTCAATGCATTGCATTTTTGAGTCTAGAAATTTCGAAGATCGAACCGTTTTTTGACGACCACAATGGGCGCCTCACCTGCCAAATTCTTGTTCGGATTCCTCTTCATCTCCATCATACTATGGCTTATTTTCACGTAAGTTTACTCTGTTTATCATATATTTTATACCTTTACTTTTTCTAGTAATGGAATTTATCGTTTGTATTTGTTGCACCAGGTGGATCATGGTGAGAGAGTTTTTTTTGTGTGCAATGTGTGGATTATTGTCTTCTTTTTTCTGTTGAATTTTGTGAATTGTGATTCTTTTTAGTAGTTATGAAGTGTTCTTGTGGTTAAATCAAGGTCATATTTTGGTGTAAGTTCATCAAAGGATCGTGAAAATGACTGGTTATAGTATTAGAAATGTTGCTTTATAAAGACAGATTGGTATTATTTGGGAATTTTTTTTTTGTGAAAGTCCTTCAATTTTGAGTTTTTGTAGTTAGAGGTGTTCATCAGGACGTGCTAAGGTTGAGGGCTATGTTTTTTGGCGGTGGAGATTGATAAAATGATCATCAAAGCAAGTGGTTAAAGTTGTAGTGTGTATAGTTGTTATTCATTCAAGTGTTGCTTTTAATTGTGGTAGTTTAGTTATCAGGGGCAGTGCATATATTACCATTATTGTCTTTGATGTTGTCTTTCTGAAGATTATTTTCTTATAAAGGCTGTGCCTTTTTTAAATTTTTATTGGATTCAGCTTGTTTCTGCTGGACTTTCATGCTCGTGGAACATTGAGCGCTGAAATTTTGATTCTCGGTCGACTCTTTTCTGGCATCATTTGTTCTGAACTTCCTTAGCTTAACTTGCGGAATCATGGACTCAACAATGGAAAATTTTGAGTGCATTAAGGAAGAATTGGATTTATTGAGGAAATCAAACTATTTCACTTCTTTGCTATTCCTCTGTTGTCTAACACTATTATGTTGGTTTTGTATTGTAATCTTTACAGGTTTTATCCCAGTGGAAATCTAATAAATCGTTATAGAAATATTCTTCATTTCTACATCTGTCTTTTTGGCTTCTAAGGGATCTTGAAGTGCACTCATGTACTGTAATCTTTACAGGTTTTACTGCAGTGGAAATCTAATAAATCGTTATAGAAATATTCTTCATTTCTACATCTGTCTTTTTGGCTTCTAAGGGATCTTGAAGTGCACTCATGTGCTGTATTCCATCATTTTTTAAGATACAAAAAAAAGTTATGATAATATGTTTGTAGTCATCCTTCAATACAATGTGCTGCAGATTTGCAGATTCTGATAGACCAATAGAACAGAATTCTTAAGTTTTGATATGTTCGTTTTTTCTTTATGCCGTGGAATCTGCTTGGTGCTCAATGCATCTAACTATTTCTTCTAGGAATTTTGTCTACCATTAGACAAATCCAATGAATAAAGACTTGCGGATGAAGTGACCCTAAACTTTTAGTGTGATACTTCAATAAAATAGTTGTTGTGTTAAGGCTGAATGTGTGCCTTCCATATGGTGGTAAACTAACTGTAGTTTTGGATGCACATTGATAAGAGAGAGAAATCTCTGTGAGTTAATGCCATTTAACTTAATATGCGTTTTTATCTTTTTGGGCAGTTTTTTCTTTTCTACTTTTCATTTTTTTCCAAAATAAAAGTTAAACAATTCATTTAGGAGAAAGAAATATCAGAAGAAGACTAGAAAAAGAAAGATAGTGAAGTTAGGCTGGACAAAACTGGAGAAAATACACAATGCAAAGTAGATGAGTTAAAAGAGTATGTTAAGTAGCATTCGGATGCATCTATCAGTATGCAGGAGACAGTTAAGGTGTGCTTTAGGCATCAAGGTTGTCAATGAAGAGCTATAAGCTTAAGATTGATTCTTTAAATTGAAGGTGCAGTCCCGGAAAGAAGAGATTATGGCTTCTACAGTGTAATACCCTGAGGAAGAGACTGAGTTTGTTTGGACAAAGATAATTTGGTTTGCAAAATTTGTTTTCACAAATTCCAATCACCTTTTTATCTTCCCAATCATCTTTTTATCTCACATACATCACATCACAAAAAGTGCTACAGTAAATATCTCAAATAAATCATCCAAATAAACTCTTATCCAAACATTTTCACTGGCTTTTTCTTGGTGCAAATTAGTGCAGCTAGGCTGCCAAATCAGCCTGGAGTTTCAAAATTTTTATTTTCTGCCTTAGCCAATATGCTTGATTCATCAATTTGAGAGTATTCTTTTACTCTTTTTGATATTGATGGAGTGGTTACTCGTTATGGTTTTAGAGCAGGCTCCAGGGATTTTTAGATCGTTTTGTGGTGCAACCTATTATAACTTGTTCATGTGCTTAGCCAATACATTTTTTATTGCCAACGTGCTCTCTTGTAAATGAGATCCATCTCCAGCTTTTCTTTAACTGATGTTGCTTATATGATGGAATTATATAGAATAGCTTGCTGCTTGACGGCCTTTTATTTTGTGACTGTGAGGTGACGGTGTTATGCTATTTACTTTGAAGCCAAAATAATTTAGTTGCAACTTGATTTTAGATTGCTGATCGTGCCTCTTGTTTCAGATTTGCTTCCAGGTTGTTGACTGGGATTCTAAGCCGAGTTCTGGGAGCGTCAGTTCAGTTCCGTGTTGGTGGATGGAAATGCTTGAGAGATATTGTTGTGAAGTTCAAAAAGGTTGTTTTCTTTTCTTTTTATTTCTTTTTGCTTTTTCCTTTTTCAGTTTGATATTTGCAGCTGAACTTTATTATGTTATTGTAATTTTAACGGGACATGATTTGTTATCTCTCAATAACTGAAAGACTGTCTTTTTGAGCAAGCACTCAATATGTCTCATGAAATATGTATTCTTAAAAATTGTATTTTTCATTCTTTTTCCTGTCTGTTTCTGCATGAACCTTTTTTGTTTAATTTTTTTTATTGTTGTACTATACGGGTTAAAAACTTGATTCTGCTGTCCTTATACAGGGATTGACTTAGAAGAGTTGGGTTTTGAACTTTGTTTAGATACAGACAAAAATGGGTTGCCACCCTTTTTCTTTTATTGGACCTGGAAGTCTATATGTATCACCTTCTTATGGATTAAGGTTATGTGGTGGTTGGGAAACCTTTCAACCTGTAAAACTTAGCTTTGTTTGGGCAGTCAATATGGACCACTGAAGATTTCTTCAAAATCAAAACATTAGAGCTGGGATATCTTCATGTACAGGTGTCAAAACCTTCTTGGAAGGGCAGCTGACAAATACAATTTTGAGTTTTCATATCTGCAAGTAGCCACATTTTGTTTCCTTGACAGTCAATATAAAAAGCAATATCACCCGTAGTATTCCTTGTTGAATTACTTTTACTCTTCTTGACTTGAGGTACTATAAATTAAGCCATCTGGATGCACTTTTGAGGGTTATTCTGTAATGATATTCGTACCAATTTGACCATTCCTTGATTTTAGTTTGGTTCAAGATCATAAATTAACGAATAATTGCATAAATTCCTGGAGAGTGCCATGGTGCATTTTTTTAGAAGCAGCTTTGTTATCAGGAATACAGATTTGGAGGTGCCTTTGCTTGTGTCATTCTCTTGCATGCTTTTGCGTGCAATTTGTTTTTAGTGTCCACCTCTGAGTAGTGAAGCAACCTTTTGTTTTCCAGAGTTTTTGGTTGACATTCATTAGTTCTATGTTTGCCTTAACATCATTAAGATATGTTATTAGGCTTTCTAAACAAGGTAGCTGGATTGAATGACAGTTTTGTGATTGCCCCTAAAACTTTTAGTTTTGTTGACAGAAGAGTTACCTTGACCTGGAGATTTTGTGGATCTTTTTTATTGAAAATACTTTAGTGATAATCCTGGTTTAGACCTAATTTTGGCACCATCCAGACAAAGTTGCTGGTTTTATTTCCATTTAACAAGCTTCTACTGAATTAAGTATTGACTTCATGGAGTTTGAATAGATAGGCCTTCATCTCTTTTTTGGATATTTTTTTAGCAGATCTTATTACAATAATGTACATTGAGCCATATTTTTCTTGATCCTGACAATCAAATTTTCAGGGCGCTGTTGAATCTGTGTCTGTTGGTGAAATCAGACTCAGTGTAAGGCAGTCCTTGGTCAAACTTGGTGTTGGTATTTTTTCTAGGGACCCGAAGTTGCAGATTTTAATATACGACTTAGAAGTTGTGATGAGAGCCCCCACCAAAAGTACTCAGAAAAGGAAGTCCAGGAAATCGCGTGCTTCTGGTAGAGGAAAGTGGATGCTCGTGGCTAATATGGCACGGTTTTTGTCTGTTGCTGTGACTGAACTGGTTGTAAAGGTATAAGGAATAATTTTGCCTTTATCTATCATCTACAATGGGTTCCTTTAGCTTATTATGTTACTTAAATATTCACGTAAGAAAGGGAATGGGGACGAGTATGTGTGAACATTATTTATTTCTGGGATTCATGCTGTTTAATTGGTGTGCTAGGTAGGAAATGGATGAGTAATACTCTGTTTCTGGAGGAGTAAACAGTTGGTTTTGTTCATGAGTTTAACCTCACATTTGTTTCACATCTCTGATTTTTTCTTGACTGAAGAAAGAAAATTGTCCTCTGTGGTTATGCTCAAGTCTGATGTGCTTATATGAGTATTTTTTTCAACATAATGTTAGGATTATTGTTTTAGTTGTTTAGCCACTTCAAAGGACCCAAATTGGAAGAAAGAAAAGAAAGCATCTCTGTGTTTGCATTTAGGCAGTTTATGTTTGTAATACAAGTACCGCAGGTCATTTGGTACTATTGACAGATTTTCCTATTCACATTGTGTGCTGGGCAATCATCAAAAGTGTTCTATGTGCTTTCGATTGAGGGTTGAATGAAGAGATTTTTCCTTTTGAGCTTTAAATTATTCTGACAGGAAGGTGAGGTTGCATCCTTTGGGTGGGAAACTGTGTCTGCTTGATGATGATTGATTCATAGCCACTGTATGGCTTGAAGGCATATGTGGTATATGAAGGAGGTGAATATGAAATGAACTCTGCATAAATAAATTTCTACGAGGAGATTGCAATTTGCATCCAATGTGTAGATCTTGACACCATATGGATCATAAAATTTTCTTCATTTTTGTGTTAGTTCCATTTAGAGACAGGCTTTAAACTTGGTCTTTCTTGAGCAAAACTAAAGTTAATCAAAATTTTGCAATAACAAAATTTTGCAATACCTGTCAAGGGATGATAAAAATCCTTTGGTAGTGGATATCTACCAAGGTGTAGCAAATAATTTCAAATTTCTGTTTAGTTGTTGCATGACGATGATATTTGGAAGTTAAGACTAGGTAGGCAGGAAGCTGCTCACGGTATCTCAGGGTGAACGTGATCAATTAATTATAAATTGTTTAGTTGTTTTTCTATATAATATCTGCTTCACTCTTTCACTATCCATGGAGATTATGGCAGGAAGATTTGCTCATAGTTTCACTCTTTTTTACAATTAATTCAGACACCAAAAGCTACAGTGGAGGTTAAAGAACTCAGACTGGAAATATCCAAGGATGGTGCAGCCCAGCCAACCCTCTTTGTGAAGCTGCATCTAGTTCCTGTTTGGGTTTATTTAGGTGAATCACATGTTACTTCTGATATCCCTGGGGGATCTCTTCCTTCTGGCGAAGCATTTTCCGGTTTGACAGAACGAACCTCTGCTCCTTTCAACTGTGAAGATTTTGCACTTTTGTGTGAATTCGGTCATGATAGGTAGGTTTTATATCTGCTTACGTAGTTCCATGATTATTCTGCAACTTTTCTCTCTTTACTTGATTAGATGTGCTTCAGTTTCTTTAATCTTAGAAGGCACTTGCTCAGATGCTTGTATAAGCTATTCTAGACAGCTAGACTGTACAAGCTATTGGCTTGTCCCTTCATCCTGTCACTCTTTTTGTAAACTGTATTTGATTGCTTATGATCTCTGTCCTTGAAGATCCTTTTTTGAGTAGAAAAGTTCCATGTGCTAATAGTGCTTTAAGAGTCTAACAATCGTCTTATTTTGAGGATTTCATCTTGAGGGTCTAAAAAATCTCCCCAGTTAACCAATTGATGCCTTTGACCAGTACAACCTCTAGTAGAGATAATTAATTGCTGCTTAGTTAGTTCTTATTCTTTTACTGCTTTAATTTGGAGAAAGTTGGAGCACTGTATTCCTTTAGCTCCAGACCATGCATTTCTTTGTTATGACATATTCAGAAGTTTGTTGACCGATGTAGTGCATACAAAAAGAATAATAACAAAAGCTCCCTTTATCATGACTGTTAACCAAAAAAAAAAGAAGAAGAAGTAAAATGAGAACAACTAAGGATCTACAGTGGATGGATGCCTACTCCAACAAGTAATGAGATGAAATCTAGAACTTCAGCTGTTTAAATAATATTTTCAATACTCTCAGCAGCATCTGAGTTTCTCATGCTCCAAAAACCCGCATGGAAGCTAAGGGGGCAACTTTCTTTCCCTTTTTGGCTCCTACTCTTTCTTCTTGTTGTCCATCACAGTAACAGCTCTCTCAGTTCTCTGTCATAGTCCAGTCAGTTTAAAGAAAATTAAATAAAAATTCCAGCAGTGCCATTCCATAGCAAAACTTAATCAAATGGGATACACATACTTGGACTGATTGAGTACTAGTAAATGGTTCACTATTTATTTTTTGGGTAAGAAAATGTCTGACAATGTTTAAACATAAAACAATTTTAGTTATGCATATAGTATACTTATGGCTCTGGTCATTACTTGATATATCAGCAGACTTTGTTATTAGACACAAATCCTGAAAAGGGCAAAATGGCATAGGAAAATTAGAAGCCTGAAGAGTCAAAATAAATATTTTTATTTGTTAGTTGTATGCTTTGATCAAATGTATTGTTGGATGTGCTCCGTAGTACTGATTTCTCTCAAAATCCATATTTTCTCAGGGAAGCAGGTATAGTGGTTAAGAATGTAGATATTACCAGTGGAGAAGTTTCTATGATCTTAAGTGAAGAGCTTTTGGTTAAGAAGAAAAGTTCAATTGGCACAAGCGCTCAGGCTGGTCAAGTTGTAACAGAGGCTAATGAAGCAAGTGCCACTAAAAAGTCAGACAAAAAACCTGCAGCTTTGGCTATTACTAAGTTCACTTCTATATTCCCCGAAAAGGTTGGTGGGTTTTGATCGTTATGACATGGAATTTTTTTGTGATTGGTATTTTTTCTTAGCTCTGTGATATGTTGACACTTTTAAATATTCTGCATTACTTGATGTGAAATGATATGCATGGGATCCACCTAGCTGTGCTAGGTCATTATAGAGGATGTGCATTTCATATGTTGTTATATCAAGTATGAAGCATATATAGTTACTATATGAAAATCTGAAGAATATCTAGGCTTGCTTGATGTGATTTTGACACTGAATGAACAAATTGAACAAAAATTGATTAGCTGCAATCAGTTTAATTCATGTAGCACAGCAGGTCATTGTTACATGATTATATTTGACATGATTTAACAGATCCTTGGAATGCCATGTCTGAAACTCATCTGTGAATAAATGAATTGGTGCTTCTGGTGTATGCATGGGTTTATGATTGTTTTGCCTCTTATATAGATGTAGACCTTCAGGAAGCAATTCATGCATATTATCTCCCATTAGCACACTCTTCCTTCTCGTGCACACACCCACATACACCCATGCATATGTACATACACATAGAACAGTTTTGCATACTGGAGCTGCATTTTTATGTTATTAAACAAGTCGATTGTTGTTTCATGTATCGCTTTACACATTTGCCCCTGAGATGCTAAGGCTATAAAAGGTGCTCATATTGTGCGGTTATGAGGTTTGCTGTCCTGGGACCGGTGCAAACTGAGATTCCTCACTGTGCTTTGACTCAAATGTAGTCAATTTTCCTTTTCAGAATTTTGTATTTATCAATTATATTAAATTGACTCACTTTTTTATCCATAACTGTCTGCCTGAGTATTTTCTCTGTTCTTTATCACAATGCTTGTATCATAATCAAGTGACTGTATATATTGCTTGGTCACTTACTATACTTTTGTGGAAAATGCCTAGAATAGTATCGGGCTTTCTTGTATTCATTGCATAATTTGAAGCTGCATTTTGTAGATTGGCTTCACATTGCCCAAATTGGATGTGAAGTATGTGCATCGGGGACAAGGTCTTGTAATGGATAGTAACATCATGGGCATTCAACTGAAGAGCACAAAATCTCGAACTGTTGAAGATCTCAGTGAAAGTACCAGGCTTGATATTCAGTTGGAATTTAGTGAGATTCATGTACGAGTAAAATGTTAAAACAGTTAAAGAAGTTGTCTAGACAGTATTTTTCAGAGGTTCTTTTATCAATCCTCATCTAACGATGATTTCTCTGATAAAACTGTAGCTGCTGAGGGATGCTGGCATTTCCATTGTTGAGATACTGAAACTTGACGTTATTTCTTCAGCTTATATTCCCCTACAGGTACATGTATCGAATACTTAAAACTGCTGAAATTTGAACTTAATCACATTCTGTTAAGTTGCAATTCTGCCTGTCCTTTATATTTCACATTATACTGTTTGTCAGCACATGTTGTGAACTGCCCTATTGCGGAAACCATTTTTACTCTAAAAGATGAAAATGAGGGTAGTTGGCCTACTTGTTGCCATTTGTCCTCTGACCTTTAGTTTTCGGATTAATGTTGGGACTGTGGGTTCAGATAGCAAACTTGATTCTCTTCTTTGGGGTTGTGTAATAGGCCCTTTGTGTTGACTGTTTCTTCCCTTTGCTTTTTTGGTTTGCTGTAGTTTTTCCTATATTACATGGACTTGCCTTTTGATCATGAAGCACCTGTGTTGACACAATATGACATTGGCGGGGATGCGGTATATCTACCAGATCTGGTCAAAGTTAGATGGGTCCTTTGAATTTGAAAAGAGAAAGATGAGGAAATTGGTCTTTGTTAGGTTGGTTGTGGTCCTTGGTAACTGGGTTTTGAAAGTGGATGTGATTTCATGAATGATTGAATGCTCGCCTATTGCTGGCAAAGAGTTTCATTCAGCCAGCACTCTTTGTCAGTGGTCTGGATTGCGTTTCAACCACCCAAAAAGAAAAAAAATGGAAGAAGAAGAAGAAAAAGAAGAGGGACAGTAACTAATGAAAGAGACGACAAACTGCAGCTTAGCGAATGATGAGAAACAAATGTCAAGATGCACAATTTGGGGAAATAAAAAGATGGTAGTAATAATCAACAGCTTGAAAAGCATGTGTTAAGAGAGATATAAGGAAGGTGGGGTAATCTGGTTAGATCATCTGTTTGTGATGTTTAAAGCATCACAAGCAATGCTGGTGGTTTCACAAGCTTTACAAAATTTTTGGTTCTATTAGTTAGTTGTTTGTCATACAAAGCTCATTGCTCCTGTTCAATTTACACTTTTTTTTTTCTGATAAGAGCTAAATATCTGCTGTCAAAGCCTTTACTTCAGAAAACTTTACCTGTTTCTGAACACTATAAGCTTATTAATTTTTTCATGACCGCTTTAGCCTATGAAATGTCACCAGAAAACCTATGATCTGTAGGATTTTTATCTTTTTCATATGGTAAAATAGTATAAAAAATCATATTAACCGGCACATCCCCATAGCCATATCCGACTCTTTGGCTGTCTCCCTATATCTAGCTTTTAATAAAGTAATGAATCTGATACTTAGACACATAACCTTATCTGACAGCTCTATCTGAGTCCATGTAACAGTCTATTCTCCAACTGATATAGCACAATCAATACGCCATCAATTAATCTCTGCTATATTGTGTCTCCTTGTTTTTGCTGTCATGATGTTGTGTAGTGTGCTGTTTATCTTGTCTTGAGCAGTATGAATTATTCCCTCACAATTGACTCATTCCACTACTAGACATGATGTCTAGCTCAGTTTTAAAGCTTCATGTGTAGAAGAGGCAGGTGATCGATGCACAAGACCAAAACTCAAAGGGGAGGGATATACTTGTTTATTTATATCTTTTTGTGTCAACAAACTAATATAGGAAGCATTAGCAAAATTTTTGTCACTTGTACCATAAAATTGTTAAGAGATCATCAACTCTAAGATGAAATTACAAGATGATGGATTGGGAGAAACATGATAACAATTTATTTTCCTAACTAGATGAAAACTATTTGCAAATTTCTTATTCATCATTAGACTAAGCATACTTTAAGAGGAAATATGCTACCATATTAAGGGAATTAGTGAATTTTTGTCCCAGAGGAAAAAGTCTGGTGTTTTCAATCTCTGTAAGATAATGTCAGAAGGGTACAGAATCAAGAAGGCTGACCATACTTCTCTAGTTAAATTCTTCAGGATTAATCTGTATGGGAATTTCTAAAAGAGTACAAATTTGCACTTCTTTAGAAGTTTCGTTTTGTTGGAAAGAACTTCCAAAACTTACTTGTGATAGTGTACAGATAGCGTGTTATTGAACGTATAAAGGATTTAGAATGGAGTTCTACCACAAGGATGAAGCTACCAAGTATAGCTTGTACATAGAACAGAAAACAAAAGAAACTGTGTAATGTGTGTGTGTATACAGGCAAAAGAAATGGTACCAGAACTTTTCCTGGAAGTTGCTTTTTACTGGTTGGCACTTGAGATTGAAAATATAGTCTAACCCCATAGAGCTGCTGATTTAACCCTCATTCAAGTACTGTTGGCATCAGCTTTTGGGTGTGGGGTTGGGAGTCCATAATCGCCTGTTTTGTTTAGATTGATATTTTTTCATACACTTTTTTTCACTCTACCAACAGACATAGATAATGGTAAATTGGACTTTGTATTAAAGGATCTTGTTGTGTCTCAGTGGAGTCTAATGCCAATCTGTAAGTAGACACTTTCAAAGAATAAGGAAGTCTGTGGTGAATAGAAAAGTTTGCTTATGAATATCTATGATACTCTTTTTGAAATATGCTAGCTAACATGTTTAAATTATCGGTCTTTGCACAGGTTTTTTGTGCTTACGTCGTAGCTCTTTTATCTGAAATAAATTCTTTCCTGCAGACTGTTTCTTTTGTTTCCTTTACTAGATTCATACATGATTAGTACATCTTTATCCCTTGCTAATCCTTATCATGCTTTACTACCCTTTGAGTAAGTCTTCTATTTTGATGTTCTGTTTGTCATTTCATTTACTTGTTTAGGATGCTTTGCTTTACAGCCTTCCTCACCTATCAGATGTGAAGTTGATATTAAGCTTGGTGGTACTCAATGCAACTTGATGGTTAGTAGGTTTGTTCCATGGATGCAAATGCATTTTTCAAAACCAAAGAGAATGGTGCTTCGAGAGGAAAGTTCTCTTGAAAAGCAACGGTCATCTGGACAAAGTGCAATTATGTGGACATGCACTGCTTCTGCCCCAGAGATGACCATTGTGCTTTACAATTTGAGTGGCTCTCCAGTCTACCATGTAAGAATATTCTTTAGAGTTATTTCCTCTCCACATGCTGTTGCATTAGAACATGAAATTACTGTTGACATACGTTTAAAAGATGCATTTGTTTGAATAAAGCTAGTTTAAATTCATAGATTGAACAATACAAATTCTCAAGAATGATTTCTATCATAATTAGTAGTATTAACTACTAAGGGTTGTATTCAGTCTGTCGGGATTGGAGGTGTTGGTATTTACCTTTGCCTCTTTGTGATATCATAAGAGATGGTAAATTGCCTGCAGTTTGAATAGGAACTTTAACGAATTAGGAATGGTGAAGATGAAAGAGGATAGTTACATGTTCACATGGATATTTCCAAGATCAATGCATCGGATCTTCCGAAAATTGCAATTAGCCTTTGAGGTTTCTCTGTTTGTTGACGGGATTTGAAATGGCAGTACTGCATTGTTTCTTTTTTTTTTTTCCTTATGCTTCACATCAGTGTCTATAAAACAGCTATAGCATAGAGAGAGAGACGTATGGTGTCTTTCAAATTGAACATGGCAGGTTCATGGTGTCCTGAATAGGTACTAGGAAGGGATGTGATCAACTAGTGGGTGAAGTTAGAATCCTTTAGAGAAAAAGCTGATTCTCAAAGGTGCACATATAAGTTAAGTGGAACTGAAGATCAATTAATCTAAGAATCCTGCTAATTAAGAAATACTGGAGATTTCCATGCCTCTTTAAGAAATCCTTTTGGTTTTTTATACTGCACTAGGTTGTGTTAGCTTTTTGCGTGGATCTTTGGAACTTGATCTTAAACTACATTGGAATCTCAACTTTTACTTCTTTAATGCAGGGTTGCTCTCAATCATCACATGTGTATGCTAACAACATATCAACTATGGGCACTGCAGTTCATATGGAACTTGGTGAGCTTAATTTGCACACATCTGATGAATATCAAGAGTGCTTGAAAGAAAGCCTTTTTGGTGTGGAGACAAATACGGGTTCCTTGCTGCACATAGCAAAGGTTAGCCTGGACTTGGGCAAAAAGGATATGGATACACCTGAAGATGGTCGCAAGTGTAAAATGGTTCTCTCCACTGATGTAACTGGTATGGGTGTCTACTTGACCTTTAGGCGCCTGGAATCTTTGGTATCAACTGCTTTTTCCTTCCAAGCTCTATTTAAAAGTTTATCTGGTTCTGGCAAGAAGGCAGCTCATAACCGGGGTTCAAAATCAGTCAGTTCATCAGGGAAGGGGATTCAACTTGTAAACTTTAATCTTGAAAGGTGTTCTCTGAATTTCTTTGGAGAAGTGGGATTGGAGAACGCAATTGTTGAGGATCCCAAACGTGTAAATTATGGATCACAAGGCGGTCGATTTGTAATAAGTGTCTCAGCTGATGGTACTCCTCGCACAGCAGATATTATGTCTACTCTTTCAGACAAGTTCAATAAGTTGAAGTACTCTGTAACACTTGAGATTTTCCACCTAGGTTTTTGCATGAATAAGGAGAAACGATCAATGCAGATGGATCTTGAAAGAGCTAGATCTATCTATCAGGAGTTTTTGGAAGACAGCACTCCTAGAACAAATGTTCTATTGCTTGACATGCAAAATGCAAAAGTTGTCAGGCGATCTGGTGGCCTTAAAGAGATTGCTGTCTGTTCTCTCTTCAGTGCTACAGATATATCGGTCAGATGGGAGCCTGATGTACATATTGCTTTATCTGAACTTGGGCTGCAATTGAAGTTACTGGTCCAGAATCATAGACTTCAAGTAGAAAAAAACAAAGAAAACATATCAAGCATGACCAATAATGAGCAGGAGAAAGACACTCCTGTGGAACCTTTGCAAATCGATAAACAGCAGAAAAAAAGAGAGTCCATTTTTGCCATTGATGTGGAAACACTCTGTATATCTGCTGAGGCTGGAGATGGAGTTGAAACAACAGTCAAGGTTCAGTCCATATTTTCTGAGAATGCTCGAATTGGCATGCTTCTTGAAGGACTAATGCTCGATTTTAATGAAGCAAGAGTATTTCAAAGCAGCAGGATGCAAATTTCTCGTGTTCCCAACACCTCTGCTACTGCATCGAATGGTAAAATAGAGACAGTCACTGTGTGGGATTGGGTAATCCAGGCGCTTGATGTTCATGTGTGCATGCCATACCGGTTGCAGTTGCGTGCAATTGATGATTCTGTTGAGGAAATGCTGCGGGCGCTGAAGCTTATCAATGCTGCTAAAGCTAAAATGCTCTTTCCAGTTAAAAAAGAGAGTTCAAAGCCTAAGAAGCCAAGTTTGACCAAAATCGGACGTGTAAAGTTTTGCATCCGCAAACTAACTGCTGATATTGAGGAAGAGCCGATACAGGGTTGGCTTGATGAACATTATCAGCTGTTGAAAAATGAGGCCTGTGAATTAGCTGTTAGGTTGAACTTTCTTGATGAACTAATTTCAAAAGCTGGCCAAATTTCTGGAGGTACGGAAAGAAATGATCCAATTATTGAGAGCAAGGTTCAATTTGATGGAGAAGAGATTAATATGCAAGATCCTGAATCAATTAAGAAATTGCGAGATGAGATTTATAAGCAGTCATTCCGATCATATTATCAAGCATGTCAGAAACTTGCACCATCACCAGGATCTGGAGCCTGTAAGGAGGATTTTCAAGCTGGCTTCAAGTTTAGCACAACTAGAACTTCTGTCTTCTCTATTATTGCGACAGAGTTTGACTTGAGCCTGACAAGGATTGATGGTGGTGATGCTGGGATGATTGAAGTCCTGCAAAAACTTGATCCAGTCTGTCGTGCAAATAATATTCCGTTTTCACGCCTATATGGAACCAACCTTATCTTGCATACTGGGTCCCTTGTTGCTCAGTTAAGAAACTACACTTGTCCCTTGTTTGCTGGAACTTCTGGTAGGTGTGAAGGCCGTCTGGTGTTGGCTCAACAGGTTTGTCCTATGACTTCTCTGATTCTTTTAATTTTGTAGTCTGAATTGTAGATCTTTTTAAATAGAATAAAACAATACAAACTCAATCTTCTATTTTTCTTCTGAAGCTTTAGGCACAATATTATGGGTTTATTGAATAAGCTGTTAATTTTGTGGCTGATGGGACTTCAATGTTGGTTCTCCATATAAATGCAAATTTTGTTTGCCTTGTCACTTGATTTTGCGGTTAATGTGTCCTTTAGGTGATTTAAATGTTTTGCTCTGACATCTATTGTTACCTTTAGCTGTCATGTATCTGTATTATGCATGATCTGGTTGACATTATCAATTAAGCTATTTGAGCTGTTTCTAAGACTTTATTGTGGAGGATTTGATAATTGCTACTTTGACCCAATAGAAGAATTTTTAGCTAATGATCCTCCCCCGCGCGCGGCGGCCAAAAATATATGTTCCCTTTGATTGCAGGCAACAAGTTTTCAGCCCCAAATCCGTCAAAATGTTTATGTTGGGAGATGGAGGAAAGTTTGCATGCTTCGTTCAGCCAGTGGTACAACACCACCAATGAAAACATATTGTGATTTGCCCATTCATTTTCAGAAAGCAGAAGTGTCATTTGGTGTCGGTTTTGAACCAGTTTTTGCTGATGTCAGCTATGCTTTTACCGTGGCACTTCGTAGGGCCAATTTAAGCCTCAGGAACCCTAATCCAGAAGTTCAGCCCCCCAAAAAGGAGAAAAGCTTACCGTGGTGGGATGAAATGAGAAACTATATTCATGGAAATACTACTTTATACTTGTCTGAGACTAAATGGAATGTCCTTGCAACCACTGATCCATATGAAAATTCTGACAAGCTTCAGATTTTTTCTGGTTATATGGAAATCCAGCAGTCAGATGGTCGTGTTTATATGACCGCTAAGAATTTCAAGATTGTTTTGAGCAGCTTAGAAAGTTTGCTGAAAAATTCCTGCTCAAAGCATCCTACTGGCTTTTCTGGTGCTTTTATTGAGGCACCCATCTTTACTATTGAAGTCACAATGGATTGGGATTGTGAATCTGGGAATCCACTGAATCATTATCTATTTGCGCTTCCTATAGAAGGTGTACCTCGTGAAAAAGTTTATGATCCCTTTAGGTCTACTTCTCTGTCCTTGTGCTGGAATCTGTCACTCAGACCCTCTCTTCCCTCTTCTAATCACGAGTCACAGTCATTGGCAATGAGCGATCATGCCTTGCTGAATGGAGCTTCACATAATCCATTTGCAACAGCAAATGCCTCTACTGATTCACCAGTTGTCAATCTTGGTCCACACGATTTAGCATGGCTATTAAAGTTTTGGAACTTGAACTACCTTCCTCCTCATAAATTGCGGACTTTTTCAAGATGGCCTCGTTTTGGTGTCCCTAGAATTGCTAGATCAGGCAATCTGTCCATGGACAAGGTAATGACAGAGTTTATGTTTCGGGTTGATGCAACTCCAACGTGTATAAGACATATGCCTTTAGAAGATGATGATCCAGCGAAGGGACTTATCTTTAAGATGACAAAAGTAAAATATGAACTTTGTTTTGGTCGGGGTAAGCAAAAGTATACATTTGAAAGCAAACGGGACACCCTTGATCTTGTCTACCAAGGTCTTGACCTTCACATGCCAAAGGCTTATTTAGATAAGGAAGCCAGGACAAGTATTGCAAAAGTAGTTGAATTGACTAGGAAAACGTCACAATCTGCATCAATGGACAGAGTTCCAAATGATAAGACGAATAGTTTGAGTGCAAGCACAGAGAGGCACCGGGATGATGGATTTTTATTATCATCTGATTACTTTACGATTAGAAGGCAAACTCCAAAAGCTGACCCAGAAAGGTTATTGGCTTGGCAAGAAGCTGGCAGAAGAAATCTTGAGATGACATATGTCAGGTCTGAGTTTGAAAATGGGAGTGAAAGTGATGAGCATACAAGATCTGATCCTAGTGATGATGATGGGTATAATGTTGTGATTGCTGACAATTGTCAGAGGATTTTTGTATACGGTCTTAAGCTTTTGTGGACTCTTGAGAATAGAGATGCTGTTTGGTCCTGGGTAGGTGGAATATCGAAGGCATTTGAAACTCCAAAACCTTCTCCTTCTCGTCAATATGCCCAGAGGAAGCTGCTTGAGGAGAATAAGGCAGTTGGTGGCCCAGAAATGCCTCAAGATGATATAAACAAGTCCACATCTGTGAGTCCTGTTGGGAGTTCCTCATCACGACAGCATTCAGAGTCTTCAAAATCACAGTCATCCCCATCCAATTCTTTCAAAGGGGAAAATCCTTTGCCAGGTGCAAGTGGTAAGTTCTAGAGCCATCAGAGGTACTTGATTTGAGGATTTTCTGGGTTCCCTTACATCGTCTTTATGTCAAAGCTATAAGCAATGCTTATTCACATTTTAGAGGCAGGCAACTTGGCCTTCTTGTCTGAGAAGTTGCCTTGAGTATACTATTGGCTGCATTGGCCACATGCTACATTACGCAGTTTAGTTTTATGTTGCACTATGGATCTCATTGATGATGAAACAAGACTGGCATTTTTGTTGTGCTACTGTCATGTTTTGGCCTCACACTTAGCACTATTTTTGTTTTTTTGACTAGCACTATTTGCTGAAGCAATATATCGTAATTCTATAATATATTTTTGATATTGCAAAACCTTGAAAACTGGAATTTTGACTGCCTGTTTTATGTTTTATAACAGTGAAGCAATCTGATGAATCTGAGGACGATGGAACCCGTCATTTCATGGTTAATGTCATTGAGCCACAATTCAACCTTCACTCAGAAGAAGCCAATGTATGTTATTTGCGTAGCTTATTTCTGTTGGGATGAACTTTGCAATATCGAATTTTACAAATTTGTGTACACTTGGACTTGCTATATCTGCGATCATCTTTTTATTCCTTGACTGATAGTGATACCAGCTACCACATGAGTTCTGCCTTTTATATCTCTAGTTTCTGTGGGCTTGTTAAGCTTGTATCTACCTTTCTTATCATCAGAATAGTAGCTTTGACCATTTTTTCCCTCTTTGAAGTACCAGTTCCTTAATGGGATCACCTTGCTATATTCTCAACTTAGCTGACATGCAACTTATATTTATCAGGAAATAATGCATGATTAAATTTCTCTTCCCTTCAGTGAAGTATAGATTAATAGTGCTTTGTGTATGAGCTTATACCACTAACATGGTCCCACCTCTCCAATGGCGAGCATCTCTGAATTTGCTAATGGTGCATACGATTTTACTTTGCTATAGTTCCATCTTCTGGACCACTGAACATGAAAGATTGAAGTTTATCACGAAATGTAGGTCCACTTAAGTGGCATTTCTTAATTCTCATCCATTTTCCTTCATTGGCAAAAGGAAATTAAAGATGAATAATACTCTATTTGTGACCCAGCTCTTCATGCCATTCTAAATCTTTTTCACCTTGGTAAGCATTTAACTGCAGTTGTCAATCCGCTTTGGTAGATGTATTTCATTTTGGTGATCTTGTAGAATTTCTTGTTATGTCCCTCTTAGGTTTATCGCAAAAGGAGAAAAGGATTTTTTGCTAAAATTTGGAAACAATGATTTCGATGCATGTAACACCAAAGTCTTTCAAGCTTGGAACTACCTTCACTCTCTCCTGGATTTCGTTCTGACAGGGTAGGTTTCTGCTAGCTGCTGTTAGTGGGCGTGTTTTAGCTCGTTCGTTCCATTCTGTTCTTCACATTGGGTATGACATGATTGAACAAGCACTTGGTGGAAGGAATACTCAGATTCCTGAGTCTGAACCTGAAATGACGTGGAACCGTATGGAGTTCTCTGTGATGTTGGAGCATGTGCAAGCTCATGTTGCTCCAACTGATGTAGATCCTGGGGCTGGACTTCAGTGGCTTCCAAAAATTCGAAGAAGCTCACCCAAAGTAAAGCGAACTGGAGCTTTACTTGAAAGAGTTTTTATGCCTTGTGATATGTACTTCCGCTATACAAGGCACAAAGGTGGAACAGCAGATTTGAAGGTGTAGCATTAAGTTTTGTTTAAAAATTTGTTCTTCAGTACTAGTCCTGAACCGTTAATACTAGCTCAGATGATGCACCAAATCTATGCTGTTTTGTTAGTTTACTTTCATTAATATCCTATGCTATTTATTTTGTTTCTGCAGGTGAAGCCATTGAAAGAGCTTACTTTCAACTCTCGTAATATAACTGCAACTATGACATCTCGGCAGTTCCAGGTTATGCTTGATGTGTTGACTAATCTTCTATTTGCCAGACTTCCAAAGTAAGGATAACTGATCTCTCTCTCTCTCTCTCTCTCTCTCAGTTACTGCTTTGGCATTCTGTTTGTTCATTTTGTTTCAATTTTTCTGTGTTTAGTCAGTTCATAAATTGAGTAAAACTAGTTGTTATAGAACATTTAAATAATTTGGTGAGCTCTCAAAACAACGTTGAAATTATTTGGTCTCTCAAAACAGCGTTGAAACTATTTGGTCTGTCCTAAATGTAAAAAGTAGTTATGCACATTCACTTGGACTGGCATTACACCACTCTATCCTTGTTCTTAGATAGTTGTATTTTGAAGTTTTGATACCATTTAGCTATAGGTTACTTTCTTGGAGTTCTGCTCTTCTGAGATTGACTAAATCGGCTCATTTTCTGCCGATTAATATGAAATATCCATTGGAGAAGTTGGCCAGAATGTACTTGGATGAGATCATCAGACTACATGGTATACCTGTGAGTATTGTGTCGGATAGGGATCCAAGATTTGTTTCGAGGTTTTGGCAAAAGATGCAAGAAGTGTTGGGGACTAAGTTGAACTTTAGTACCACCTATCATCCCTAGACTGATGGACAATCTGAAAGAACAATTCAAACTCTTGAGGACATGTTGAGGACTTGTGTACTGGACTTTGGAGAGAATTGGAGTAAGTTCTTGACTTTAGTGGAATTTACCTATAACAATAGTTTCCACTCTTCTATTCAAATGGCTCCGTATGAGGCACTTTATGGTCGGAAGTGTAGATCCCCAATTTGTTGGGATGAAGTAGGCGAACGGAAAATCTTAGACACGACTACTGTATCTTGGATCGAGGAGGCTAATGAAAAGGTGAAATTGGTACGGCAAAGAATTCAAACCGCTCAGAGTAGACAAAAAAGTTATGCCGACAATCGGAGGAAGGATTTGGAGTTCACTGTTGGAGATATGGTATTTCTCAAGATTACGCCGTTAAAAGCAAGTTTGATGTCCGGAAAAGGGAAGAAACTACAAGCAAGGTTTGTAGGGCCTTATAAGATTATTCAGCGAGTTGGGAATGTAGCCTATAAGCTGGAATTACCACCGAGTTTATCTCGTATCCATAACGTGTTTCATGTGTCCATGCTTAAGAAGTATCATCCAGACCCCTCTCATGTTTTACAACCGGAGAATATTGAGATTGATGAAACCCTGACCTATGAGGAGAGACCGGTAAAACTTCTGGATCGAAAGGTGAAGGAATTGAGGAACAAGCAGATACCACTAGTGAAAGTTTTATGGAAGAACCATGGAGTAGAGGAAGCAACATGGGAAGTTGAAGAGACAATCAGGGAGAAGTATCCAGACTTGTTCATCGATCAAGGTAAATTTCGAGGACGAAATTTTCTTAAGGGGGAGAGGATGTGAGGACTCGCAAAAACTATTATTTTATGCCTAATTTATGGCTTAATAAATTATTTAATTGGGTTTTAATTCCAAGGAATATTTTCTAGTCTTATTAGACCTAAATAAGTGGTAGTATATCTTCGTTATATTTTTAGAATGATTCGTTTCGAAAATTAATTTCCTAGAGCGCGTTTAGTAAAAATAGTGAATAGTACTTGGAGATTTTATCCGCGTAGTAGCACGATAAGCTTGGAATATTGGAGACTTGTACTATGGTCCTAAAATAGGTAATTTTATGAATAAATATTCAAGTGATAGTTAGTAGTGCAATCGTTATAAGAATTTTCAGAATGTTTCGCGTTATAGCGTTAAATTTGACGGTACGCGTTTTCACGCGCGCGACTTCAATTGAGGGACTTTAGACCCTTATTTCGGGACAATTAAGAGTGAATAATATTTACATGAATATATATGCCTTGGAGGTTTAGTGCACTAGTGAACCAAACGCGCGAGAAAATCGAGCCGTAATCGCACCAAACGGCCCCTAATGGAGTTGACTTTTGGGTGAATTACCACCACTTATTTCACCTTCTCTTGGAAGCTAAAGGAAGTCAGATTTCCCTCCATTTTCTCTCTCCTCACAGCCGACCAAACTCCATCTCTCTCTCTAACACAATTGCTTCAAAAATTCTGCTCACTAATCTCACTCAAAACCACCCCAAATCATCTCCAAATTTAACCAAACTTGCACCACACCTAGCTTGACACTTGAGGATCATCTTGAGCTGCAAACAAGGGCTGGAAATCACGGTTTCTTGGAGCTTTAAGAGGGCCGAAAATTCTGACCTTGCAAACCAAAGGAGTAGGTAATGATCAACCCTTGGATTCTTATCTTTTGGAGATTATATGGCAAGATTAAGCTCATGCATGCACTTAGTTACTTGATTATGGTGTAAAAATGTGATTGTGGGCTCTTGGAATTCCCACACTTGGGTTGTTGTTGCTGATTGATGATTGATGGTGATTATATTGTTGGTTTAGTGATTATAATGATGCATTAGTGGTGGGTAATTAGTAGGAACTTCATTGGGTGTAAGAAGCTAAAATTTCCGATTTTGCCCCTGCCATGTTCGGCCATTTCCAGGCCAATTTTTAATGGTTTAATTGCTTGAATTGGATGTTTGTAGGATGTATTAGATGTGTGAAAAATTTCATTGAAAAATAATGAGGTTTGAATGGGCAAATGAATTTTTTTTAGAAACCAGCAAATCTGGAAAACTGATTCGCGTATGCTCTGACCAGCAGTAGTATTTTGGCTATAACTCTGTCCTCGGATGTCGAAATCATGTGCCGTCGGTGGCGTTTGAAACTAGACATTCCTAGCTTTAATTTGGTATATAATGCACGTTCTGATTCTTTGTGAGCAAGCCGAACCAAATGTTTTAAGTTCGCTGTCCTGTTACTCTGTTCATCTGGAATGAAGTGTTCAGGCAGCAACTTGATGCCCGAATTTGAACCAGATGGGTGCCGAATTTGGAAACGATTTCTTCTGTGATATTTTAACTCTATGAATGTATTTTCCAACGGCGTAAGCCATGCTCGATTTCGAGCTATAATGACTGAGTTGTGACTGAAACAAGTGGACTGCTCTGTTTTGGAAAACCCTAATGTTTGGACTGGTTTGGAACCAAATCTTGGAGTGAACTTGTTAGTTGATGTTTTTGATATTAAACACTTACCAAAGATATTATGGGTGTATCTTAGACCCTTATTTACAAATGAACCATGGTTGGATAACTTTCTTGGTTAAACGATTGGAAATTTGGAAAATGAAAGTCAAAGGCAGATTGCCTTAGGATTTTTCTTGAACTTTGGTTGGCTAATTAACTACCTTGCCGAAGGTATTTTTCCCCGAAATTCGATATAGGGATACTTTCCATATAGTATTGAAATACTGCCAATTTTGGTGCCAATTCAAGTTCGTTTCGATACCCAATTGAATTACTAAAGTTAGAGGTTCAAATCTGGAAAATTCTCATCCAGTCTTGAATTTGCTCAACTTCGGGCTACCGTATCTCGGTGCTCGAAACTCCGATTCTTGATCCGCTTGTTTTGTCATACACTTCACTTGCAACACTAATTGAGCTGAAAATTTCAGAGGCCGGTTTGCAACGTGTGAATCGTGCCGAATCTCCAAAATTGGCCGAAATCCAACTTAATTCTGCCATGAAAACCAACCCTGCGTCTTCAAGCCCATTTTGACCACTTTTCACTTCGATTCATGGAAAAGTGTCTTCTAGGAACTTATAGTACTCTCTCAGAGGATTCCAACGGTATAAAGTTTTCCAATTCTCGACTTATACCGAGCGAGTTACGATTTTTCAAAGATTTAGGATAAAACTGGAATTCTCACATTTCAAGGCAAAGGAGTTTTTCCAAAACTCTTAATTCTCGTAGTATTATTCAAACGTTTTGCCCTCGATTTTCATGATAAAAACTCAAATAATATTGTACCTAATAAAAGGCAAGTTGAACCTCGATTTACGTGTAATTGAGGTTCCTTTTTGCAAAATAATTCTTAGATTGTACTAGTGTACAATCTTCCTTGATAAGTGGGTTAATTGTGTTATTATCCACTATTAAATTGCCAGGCGCGCAAGGAGACCTTCAAGAGGATCTCACCGTGGACACTTGAACTTCCGAAAAATAATTCTTATTGAATTGCTTGGTGAGTGTCAAGTGTGTGAATTTTGATACTTGCTTATTTGTGGTATTTGTTGAAAGTTTTAAAAATAAGGGCGGGTGCGTACTTTATCGCACTCGTTCTAATTTCAAATGAATGAATGAAACGTATTGAATGAATGAATGAAATGCAATGTTATGTCATGAATGCTTATGTCGTTGGAGTGAACCTCCTCGACTTTCAAATGAATGGGGGACGCCCAAACTCATAGGCCGTCCTTAGACTCGAGCCAGCAGTGGGCTTGGTCGGGATTTGGACGAGCCATGAGATACACATAAGCTCGACCTAATAAGAGGTCTTGCTTGGCATACTCGTACAGTATTGCCCAATAATAGACTTGTGGGCCCTTGGGGTGTACGGTGGACGGAGGAAAGTAAGTGGTGATCTACGGAAATGGAAATACCGACCCGGTTGACAGGAGGGTCAATGCGGGAAGGTATACGAATGACAACGGCAGATCAAGTGGAACTTAACTCCTGAGAGCTACTATATCCTTGAATTGTTTCTGATTACTTTTCCTGTTTGAATAATTGATTATTGAAAAGACATGGTTTTATTTATTAAATTGGGTTTGTTATTTGACTAAGTGCTTGCATGTGTGTTTTTGGCCTCACGAGCGTTTCGCTCACCCTATAGTTTTGTTTTCCTTAACAGGACCGACTCTTGGAGAAATATGGAGAAACCATCCATTGTAATTTTGTTAAGACTCCTGTTATATATTTTGACTAGGCCCTGGTTTGGGTTGTACTTTTGGGAAATTGTAAACTTGAAAAGTTTGGGCCCTGATGTGTACTTTGAATTTAAGTCGTTTCATGATTACCCGATGTGCTGGTTATACATTAAGTGACTTATTAAGCTTGAACGCTTCCGCATTATTGTATTCATGTTGTTCTCATCGAAGTGATTAGTTCGGTTTGAAATTGAACGGAATTGCTTGAGTCCTGGCGTGAGTTGGGCAGGCGTCCGCGGATACCCTTTGGTCCGCCTTAGGGAGATGTGGGGCGTCACACCATATACACCAAGGGACATTTCAAGTTAGACAAAGTCAAGTGCAGTAAGTACTATATATGTTGGCATTAACATACCACAAGTAAATGACATGTAGGAACAA